GATTTCAACCTCCGAAAAAGGAGGTTATGTATTCACAGTTTATGTAACGGTGGCAGAAGTTTTTTAGACCCAGCCGTACGCGACGCCCCATTGTTTGTATTCCCACATTGCATTTCGGTGGAACAGTTTTTTTCTGTGGAGAACTCTATCTTGTGTTTCTAGTGTCTTTGGTAGGATAGACTATTGTAATTCATCGTAGGCATAGTAGCTTATATACAAAAAAAGAAAACTCCGTTGCTAGATTAATTCTCATGCAATCCTAATACACACTCTGCTCCGGTTATTAAGGTGCTTCACTGGTTGCCTGTTGACAGTAGAGTGTTTTTTAAATCATTCTTAGTACAAAGGTATAAAGGCTATTCCCATTCCTATTTATCCTCACTCCTTACTCGTCGTGTTCCAACTCGGACTATTCGATGCCCCTCTTCACTTCACTACATTGTACCACATTGTAACAAGAGGCTGGTAGATTTTGTTATTCGGTTTATGCTGCCCAAATCTGGAATAATCTTCCTAATGAGCTTAAGAACATTTCTAATGTGATTATTTTCAAAAGATCACTTAAAACGCACCTTTTTGCCTAATTCCCTTGTCTCTGTTTTTTGTTGTGCCTTTTGTTTGTTTTGCGTTGATGTCTTTTCATAGACTGTATTCTGTGTGGTATGGAATGTTTTTTTTTTCTGGAACTGTGTAGTTGTGAAAATTAAACAAAATTAAAAGAAACTTCCAATTGTGGAGGAAAGGCGCATTATAAATGCCCAGTAACAGTAACAGTAGGCCTACATTACTTACCCGATTATCCACCCTAGTGACCCGAAGGAACGAAACTTGCTGTAGGATTCGTGTTCTTCATCTAATTCACACAAAATCGACACATCCACAAATGCCAAATTTGCAGCGAAAAACGTTTCATAAAAAAATATCAGCAATACCATCTCCAAAAATATGATTGTTAAACCATGTTGAGTATATAGCCATGTTTTACTCTCTTGCTTACGCTGCTTGATCATCGTTTCTTTTAACTCGCTTAAATATTCTTCATCAGTGATTGTCGATTTTTTATTAATAATTGATGAATGATTGTTTTCATAAGGTGGGAATCCGAGAGATGATGCCAACGTTTGAATAGCTTTATTACAAGGCACTCTTTCTGCAGTCGGTATAAATATCACGGAAGTGCCAAATGACATCGAGCCAATAATGGACAATATGAAAATTATTCGCCAGATCTTAAAACGATCTGCAATATATCCCCAAATTGGCGTACAGAACACTCCGAGAACGGGCCTAATTGTAAAGAGAACACCTAATTGGAAGGCATTTAGGCCTAGCTGTCTGAGATACAAAGCGATATACGGTACTACGCAACCAAGTGCGCCATAAACGAACAATGCTATAAGTCTTATAGCTATATTTTCTGTTAAAGTTCTCCAAGTTCTCATTATACTATGTGTTGGTGATTGTTTTGCGCCCTCATCGTCAGAAACTAATTGTGAAGCACTCGTACTAGCATCTGAACTTGATGCTCCCATATTCATACCGCCACTTTTCCCACGTGATGGAACTGAAAAGGAGACAGATGTTACGTTTCAATTAAATTATTTATTAACAGCTTTAACATGACAATAACATGAATGGTTGAGTTGGCTGGTGACAAATTAATTTCGTTGTCGATGCTATTGTTTGAATAATGAATATCATCGTCTGATCGTCATTTCGTCTTCACCATCTTCATAATTTTCATCACAACGTTAATATGCCTCGTTTTTATCATCTTCATCATATCACGCGCCTATTTATCTTCTTCATGTTAAACTTTATTATCCATCCTGTCATTATCACCATTATGTTAGTCTTCATCATTATCTCCATCATCAATTATTACATCATCACATTATCATCATCCTCTTTATCATCTCCATTATTCATAAATCTATCACTGTATCAGCTTCATCATCATCATCATCATCAATAACATCCATCGTCCCCTTCACCATCAGTAACCGTTTTTCTCCATGGTCGCCGTCGTCATCATCGACATCGTCTTCTTCTTCCCCCTCATCATCATTATGATCATTACTATTATTATTATTATTATTATTATTATTATTATTATTATTATTATTATTATTAGGCCTATTACTATTACTGTACATTAATTATTAATATGCCTATTATCATCATAATGACATTTCTACGATACAGTATAGGTAACAGGTTGTTAAGATAGGTAATAAAGGGGTATAAGTAGTAGGCCTATGTCAAGGCTCGCGATAATACAATCAGTAAAATTAATTAATCATTGCGACAGGTCTGAGAGTGCTATTTCCGTGAAAATTTCTCTCCTCCCTAGGCACCTCTGTTACAAATTCCTGGATTCGTTACTAAAACGCATATGGAGTGTATTCGTTTCCAGCAGTGGTTCCAGGACGGCAGCGGTTCCAACATGTCAGAGGGTTGAAACCAAGGGGACATGTCTAGGGTCTCTGGTCAGGGTTAAAAAAAATTTGGTGGGCTCAATGAGAGGTTGAGAACAAGGCAAAAATGTGCTTTTATACTGCAATGTTAGGTACAGTACTACAATCACAACGACGATATCAAGTGGTGTCGGACGATAGGGGAGGGATAAATGCATCTTTGAGTTATACTGTAATTGTCACTAACTCCTGCTCCCGCCAACATTGGTATCAG